TGCCACATACTACAAAAAAAGTTGAACCAATAATCCTACACGCTTTTCTCTTCATTTGAAAAATTTTTTTTTTTTTTTTTTTTTTGTTTATTTTAATTCAAAAGATTAATGTGTATTACTCATATTTCTGAGAGCAACGACGATTGAACTTGTTTCATGGCTAACTAAGGAAATTAGTCAAGAAAGATAAGAATTGGCATATAACTCAGTAATTTCAGGAAAGAAACATATTATAGCTTATATCGCTGAAAAGTTTTAAGTGCTTTTATAAAGTCAAGTACAACTATGGTTTCCAATTTAAACATATGTTTGTATCATATGTCAAAATGACAGGCTTTAGAAAAATCGGAGAACACAAACTCATTAAGAATGTGATTATTATCTACAACTTTTATCTGAACACTTTTTGTTCAAAAATAGATTATAATGGAATTAGGGACAATTTTAAAATAGCCAAAATTTGTTTTTTCGAAATATCTAGTAAGCCATGAACCTTTTCAAAAATCCGAAAGGCGTATATTTTTGACCCCACAAAACTGCAATTCTTTCCCCTAGCCGAACTGACTCTCAATCTCCAGTAGTTTCCGAGTTGCCCATAGAGAACATCGAAACTCAAATTCCAGATACTCTAAAATTAACCTTAACATTGCTATACACATGAAGGGAGTTTCACTAAAAGAAATATCTTTTAAATATTATTTTCAGTTTGTACTACCCTTTCAATGAGAATCAAACAGGGTAAAATTTAAAATTATTCTTAAAAAAAAAAAAAAAAAAAAAAAAAAAAAAAAAAAATAATAATATCTAATAATATAAAAATAAATATAAATATAATAATCTATTCAGAAGTAAATTTAATTAATAAAATAATTCACCATATTACTAAGTCTGCGATCACGTGTCAATTATACTGAGATCATAAAAGAAAACCAAACCAAACCAACATGTTTATAGGAATTCACTAATGGAATATCGGGACAAAATCACACAAATAAATCTTATACGAACGACACACAACAACGCATTCCAGGAATTTCAGATTTTACTAATTATAGCATATATACTTCTTTTGACTATCTAGCAACACAGGGAGTCGAATAAGCTGAAAGACTTCGTGAAGAACCCCTCTTTCCTTCTTTTGACAAGATCTGAGCCACCCTTTAAAATATCTGCACTTATTTCTGGGACACCTGTATAACATCATGTATAAAAAGGAAAGACACTCGCTTCCAACTTAACAAACATGTTTTTACCAATCATATATTATTCTCAAGGGGTGGTATATTACCTCTACTCTGTTTTAGACTATTCTGCCCTTGTGAGTTTATCCACCATTTTTTATAGTTGAGGATTACTGACCATTATTCAGCTAATAAGTTACCCCTTAAAATTATTTGTTATAGGTTAGAGACAGATACGAGAAAGCCCAAATCGAACTCAGAAGACTACAAGGCGAACGCGAAAAGCTCTTCGCCGACAACGAACGAATGCAGTACGAAATCGAACGAGCCCAGACCCAATGCACCAAAACCCAGGCAGCCTACGACAAGGCTCAGGAGGAGATATCTAGGCTGTCCATCGAAGTGGAAAAACACCGGGACAAACACGAAAAACTGCAGAACGAGTTCAGGAAGGTGGTGGCCGAGTACGACCATTTGAGAGAAACAGCGGGTGGTCCGGGCAGAGATAGATATTCTAGGTATGTAGCATTTTGTGTTTTTTTTAACCGTGAGTAAGTCTCATTAAGGGAAGCCGATCTCTGCAGTTGCAAGGGTTTTACTGAGAAATAAAATTTTACCCTAATACCACACTATTGCAACCGAGCATTTTTCTGTCTAGATCTGGTTTTAGGTATCTTAGTTTTGTACAGTAAGGTTAGGTTATTTATATTAGGACTTTTATTTAAAGTTAGGTTATTTATATTAAGACCAGTGTATACAACAGTCGGCACAAGCACTTCATTCCTGTCCACATTTACGAATTCTTCTCTTCTCTTCCTCAAGATAACATCTTGTTTATGGTATGGTATCTTAGTTTTGTACAGTAAGGTTAGGTTATTTATATTAGGACTTTTATTTAAAGTTAGGTTATTTATATTAAGACCAGTGTATACAACAGTCGGCACAAGCACTTCGTTCCTGTCCACATTTACGAATTCTTCTCTTCTCTTCCTCAAGATAACATCTCGATATTTGATTTAAACTCCTGGACAAAATTATCGCACCACTTGTCTTTTAGAAATTTTTTTTGGAGAAATAAAGAAAAAATAGAGTAACAAACATTGTTAACTGTGCATTGTTTATTAGCAAAAAAGAATCATATTCTATTCAACAAATCGAAATTTAACTAACTAAATTCATTGTTATGAAAAAAAATCAATTTTTAGGAATTACAACTTCAATACAAAAATAAAACAATATCCCCAATAACAACCATAATGCATTATTAATATCGTGCTTTTGAAAAGTTTCTTGTGGAATATTTTCCCAGTCCTCACGCGCAGCCAGTTCCAGTGCAGCTAATATTCGGGGAGGAGGGTTCCTTTGCCGAATACGCCTTTTTAACATGTCCCAGACTTGTTCTATTGGATTCATGTCAGGGCTGTATGGGGGCCAGCCTAAAGTGGTAATTCCCACGTCATTAAGGTATTGAATAACATCCAAAGTCACGTGAGGCCGAGTATTATTATGCATTATGTACATTATGTTCTTCTTCTTCTTATCACGCCCTTTCCTGCCGAAGGTTGGCGATCCAAATGGCAATTGTGGCTCTGGAAAGTGCAGCCCGGAAGATTTCCGCAGACGAGCGTTCAAACCATCTCCTTAAATCTTTTAGCCATGAGTTCTGGCATCTTCCTACTGATCTTTTCTCTTGTACTTTACCCTCCATTATGAGGCGCAGTATTTCGTATCTATCACCTCTCATCACATGACCCAGGTATCGCATTTTTCTTTCCTTGATGGTGTTCGGTACCTATCTCTTTTTGTTTCTGCATGCGCTGGAGTACTTCATCGTTGATGATAGTTTGTACCCATGAGATTCGCAGCAACCGTCTGTACACATACATTTAGAAGGCTTCTATTCTTTTTTCGGTCTGTGAATTTAGTGTCCACTTGTCACATCCATATTACTATATGGATGTGTGACACAGAGAAGACGTAGCATCTGGCCATTCCAGTTTTGAGTTCCGCACTGAGGTCTCGTCTTGTAAAAAATGATTTCGTACTCACAAAGATTTTTCTCGCTAGCTCAATTCTTGAAAATATTTCTCTTTTCGGATCGCACTGACTATTGGTGTTAGCTCCTAAATACTTTATTGAGGTCACTTATTCGATTGTTGTGTGCATTTATTGAAGGCTTAGAAAAGACCAATAGTTCGGTCTTGGAGACATTGAGATGCAGTCCAAACATCTCACTATAGTGGACTACGGAATCTATGATGCTTTGCAGTTCTTGTATATCGTTGGCTATTATACCATGTTCTTCAAGGATCTCCAACACATATCTGCGTGCATTAAGGGTAGGTCTAGGTAAAGGCACTAAATCTTACTACCTAAGATAGTACAGGCAGTGTAGGCTCCCCAAAACATAAGACTTTCTCCAGCAAATGGATCTCTTGGAGATATGCATGCTTGGGCAAATCGTTCACAGTCTCTTCTCCAGACTCTAGAACGACCGTCTAGTTATCCAATTCTCGTCTCGTCAGTAAGCAAGACGCGCCTATAGTCATTTACATCCCATCCCGAGAATCGTCTTGCAAATCTTAAACGACTGACACGGTGTTGTCTGGTGAGGAGAGGTCCAGTTGCGAGCCTTCTGTTACTTAAATTCGCTTCATGAAGGCATCTTCTAACTGTACGATCTGAAATATTGACATGGCGTGCTGCCCTATTCAAATCGTTTAAGCTAGGGCTGGTAGATGTTCCGTTTCCTACCCAAGTAGCATTTTTACGACTTGCGACCACATGTTTACTAAACACAACATTGGATTAGTTACAAAAAATAGTTAGCTCCCTACCTTGGGTATTAAAATAAATTTAAACGTTTTTATAACGTTGTGCCGACGTTGGACTAGTACTACAGCAAAGTAGAAGTTTCTGCGACGTCGAATAAACGTTGTCTTGTAACCTTTTTTGCTTAAGTGATCTTTAGGTGATTCGGACAACGTAGTTACAACGTTGGACAATATAGAGTTTTCCGACGTCAGTTTCAGGACCTATTCCAACGTTATGCAAACGTCGTCTGTTTTACTAATTCCAACGTTGCTTAGATTTCCTTATTCTTACGTTGGTAGGACGTCGAGTCACTACCTTTTTGCAACTGTATTGAACCATAACCTTAAATCTTAAATTTTCACTTCATTGTTCTGTTCAGTCAAACAGTTCAGTGCTGTTTTTGTTTTTATAAAAAAAAACTTAATTAAAATGGGACATAAGAAAGGTACATATAAAACTAAATTTAAATATACATCGACATATATTACCGATATTTTATCCACTCCCTCGTTTATTTAGATTATAGAGGGCGGCACAAGCTAGACTCTAGGATGACTAAATTAGGCAATCTTGCGACTAGTATACTACCTGTTAAGGCCGAACTGCGACTTTATTAGTCCAGTATGCGACTACTCGAACTACTCCATCTTAATCTCCAAAACAACAAAGTGAAAGCCGCCATGTTGTTAAATAAGAAAATGTTTCGTTACTAAAATCCTGCTTTTTGAATACATTACTTTGAAATATTTGACCCTAAAAAACACGCGGAAACAATTTTTTCGACTGCGAATAAATTATTCTCATTTTACTAAAAAAAGAAATTCAAGAAAATTTTTAAAACTTCTTTAATTTTAAGGCTCATTAGTATTTTTCAAAGTAGAAACAATACATTTATCAATAAAGTTGTTTGCGTTTAACTTTTTTGCCTTGGTTAAAGTGTTTCAATAATTATGATCTTCAAACATCCTCCACACTTAAATACTTTTGTTTTGTTTTCCTTCACTGCCATCTGACATATGTCTCTAACTAAATCATAAAAATAATATTTTTTACTATAATTATCCCAATTTAGGATAAAACGCGACTTAGACGCCATATTAGTTTTGTATTTCTGTGAATTAGGATTTTAAACAACGTTGCAGTTTGTACTAAATTAGGCTTCTAGCCAACGTCGGTATCCAACGTCGTTTCGACCCAAAAATTATTCTCCAAACTAGTGCAGACTAGGGTTGGTACGAGGTTGTGCCGACGTTGCGCTCCGACGTTTGGTCGCGTGACACAACGTTGTCCCGACGTCCAAATGCTGCTTGGGTAGAAGATTGAGGGGGCAAAAAATTCTCATCTCTTTGAAAAGTAGCTCTGTGTCATCCTTGTCCTGGTCTTCTTGTGTTCCGGTCTCCCGAAAACGCTGCGCAGTTTTTATAACCGTTGTGTGATGCACGCCTAAAACGCCAGCCACATAACAGTAGCTTACATTCTCCAACTAAAGTTATTGCTTAGACCGTTTCATTTTCAGTCAGATAACGTGACGTTCTATCCATATTTAATAGAGAGAATTTACAGGTGGTTACGATACGAAGTACTACTGAAACTGTGTGCGTTGGGTACATATAAGGAAAAATGCAAAATAAGGAATTTCAATAATTCAGAATAATTTGACCTTAAACATTCAAATAAAGTTTTGTTTTTGTCCAGTTCTGTTTTTCGTACGAGCAAAGATAAATAAATGTTTTAATTGATATATTTTTTTTAATTTTCTTAAAAAATAAATAGTGGTGCGATAATTTTAATCAGGTATTAAATAAGTATTCTTATTCAAATATATTAAGTCACATTTAATAAAAACTCCCTATGAAATAAAGATAATTACTCTATATTGAAAAAATTCTAGATATGAACGAGATGAAGTGCGAACGAAAGAAGAAAACGACAGACTTCGAGCTGAAGTCGATCGCCTTCGAGAAAGGCTAGACAAGACCCTTGGAGATTTAGACAAGAACCGTAAAGAACTGGCCCTGGTCGAGAGCACTGCAGCAAGTACGGCTTCGAGCAAGAAAAGGAACGCACAGCCGAGATGGAACGACTCAAAGACGAGCTGCAAAGAAATCTATCCACCAATCAGCAATTGGAAACGAAGCTTCACGAAACAGCCATGCAGCTGGATTTGGCCAGGCAAGATTTGGGTAAGGCTCAGGCAACGCAAGAGAAGCAGAGGATGGAATTGGAGAGGGCTATAATCGAATTAGAGAAGTACAGAGATAGGTATGAGAAGTTGAAGGCACAGGCGGAGAAGTTGGAGAAAGATAATGAGAAGCTGAGAATGGAGGTATTAAATACTTTTTATCCGGGGTGGCGTCCCTCATACGACGCGGAGGCTCCAAGGAGAACGGTTGTTTATATCGAAATGAAATTTTGGTACCGTCGTTTGAGAGGCGCCACTGTATTGTATGTGTTATCAAGTAAATATGAAAACTAGAAGAAGATCTTTCATTTCTTCTTCAATCGTACTTCAAACCAAAAAAATATATTTATAATAATTTTTCAGGTTGCTCAAACTGAACGAAGGCAAACGCTTGCTGCTGACAAGGTCCGCAACGATGAACGCCTAGAAATCGAAAGACTGAAAGAGAAACTAGAAAAAGCTCTCCAGGCCAGGAACGCTACCGAATTAGAAGCAGGTCGCCTCGCTCAGGAACTTGAAAAATCGCAGCTCCACCTTACCAAAGCCCTCGAGACCAACGAGGCTACCAAGATAGAGTTTGAAAGAATGGCAACGGAACTTGCAAGGATGCATGAGCGTTTGGAGAGAGACAAATTGGACTGGAAGACGCTGGAGCAGGAGAGAGACGTTCTCAGGGCTGAGGTGCAACAAGTTAGGAGTGGTATGGACACGCAGAGGAGGACCCTAGATCACCGGACGCAGGAGACGCTGATTAAGTTGCAACAGGAGTTGGCACAGTCGAATAGAGAAAGAGATAAAATGGCGTCGATGTTGGAGAAACAAGGAAGGCAAGGTAAGAAAGAAAACTTCTCAAATTCTTCTAGCTTTGAATGTTCAAATTTATTATCAAAGTATTCGTAATTGTTTTTTGCCCCCCTATCCAATATTTAAATGTTGTTAAATTGCAAATTAGATTCTTCATCTTTATATTTTTGCTATTTACGATTTTATTAATTGCGTATTTGTACTTCTAATAGGAATATAATATGTCTTCTTTTTGTATAGCCTTATTTTGTAATTTGTTACCTACATACTTTTTAGCTCATATATTTTATTTTTTATATCTTAATTACAGAGATACAAAAGCCTTGTTCGTGTGTGGAAAAAACCTCGGAAAATGGTCCCCATCTGGTTCTATTTATGGTTTGCCTTGTTCGAGGATCGATATAAAAATCGATTTTCTAAAATTCCTCAAGTACTGATTATGGCCAAGATTCTGCTGGACGGACAGGTTTTCTTTTTCTTTCAGGGTTCCATTCAAGGTCGCTTCTTGGTATGTTCTCAATTGGCTTTCTCAGAGTATGACCTATCCCTCCCAATTTTCTTTTCTTAACTTCTATATACATCTCTGGTTGGTTAGTATGATGAAGCAGGTCTGTATTATATAGAAAGAATAGTTTCAGACCAAAATATCTTAAGAATCTTTGTCAAGCAACGGTTGATGAAAGTTGCAATACGGGTTCAACCTTGGAGTTAAAAAGTCTCAGTGTGGTTTATGTGGAGAGCTAATGCATGTTCCATACAGATTTCAACTGACCAAATGTTTGCTGCGCTTTCACCGCCGCTATTGGTGTTTATTCCGAGATGTAGAATGTAAAATAAGTGGGAGGAGGGAGGTTAATCACCGCGATCCTAAATATATATTGTGTCTTCCTATCTTGAGTTATAACTCAACATCATACAGTTGATCATACATGAAGATTTTCCTGTTGTAGGGGGGACAGGATATTTCCTATCCTCCTCTAACAAGAGATGTTCTTCCTTCGAGGTACACCCTTCTACGGTTGGGGTTTCGCCTTCCGTGCCCTTCACAGTCGAGAAGCTTGTCTCCGGCTGAGGTACTCGTGAGGTGGAGGCTGGAGGGTCTGTCTCCATTTTCTCCACCTCTTTAACTTGGTCTCTCTTTAGACCTGATACGGGTATTGTCCCGAATCTATGGTTATTGTATGTGGTATTTGAGGTCAATTCGTATTATGAGGATCTGACTTTGGCCTCCTTCTGACTTTTCTTCCTCCCTCGAGTTGACGACTCGCCAACTCCATTCGCCATGTCCTTCCATTAGAGTCTGGATAAGGCATGTAAGTGGTGTCTCTCCCCTTGCTCTTCTACAGAAAGACCGTAATGGTCGTCTCTTCTGGGATGTTTTCTGCCTCCACTGCGACCTGTCTCGACCCCTATCTATTCTTAAGCTTAGATTTTCCACCAATCAATCCGCCTATTCTTAAGATGCACAATCTATGAGAAGCGCGCCCATCCGAAAGTGTATCTCCGGAAAACGCAGTTGAACCATATTTTGTGGGTGGATCGTTGGGTTGCAATCCTCTCGCCACTACTTCGTCCACTATCGCCCTTAGATCCGTGAGTGCCGTCAGTGCAACCTCTAGGTAATCTTTTGGTAGCACCGCTATTTTCACTTGTCGGCAATAGCGGAAAAGCTGCTGCTTGCCTCTCGGTGTTGGACGACCTTCCATCCTGGCTTTTTTCTCTCCTTGTTGAAGCAGAGGTGAGAGGTTCTCGCTTTCTCTCTTTCTTTCTCTTGCCCTCTGGTGGAGATGCGCCAGGCTGTTTCTTGGTTCCTTTAGTCTCGTCTTTTTCGACGGGTGTTTCCGCTTTTGCTTCCTTTTGCTTCCTCGAAGCAAGTCCTTCGTAGAGCAGTCAGAGGTATCTCCGTACTTCTGCTCCGCTAAGTACCGAGATATAAAATCTTTGACATTTTTAATGACAGCTTTCTCAATTTTAATATGGGTATTATTGGTGGAATTATGGATATTAATTTGTTACTGTAGATGTTGATATCAGCAATGAAGCTTGTACGCAGCTATAAATAATTTCTGATGAAATTGGTTAGTTTCTCAGCTTCTTCAATCGAAAGTTTTATAAACTTATGTGTTTTTTCTTTAGCTTCGAGTATTTCCAGTAGTTTTTCCGTAGAGTTTATCCTTGTCATGTGTCAGTTTTTTTCTGACACCAATAGATAGGTTGGAAGAATAAATCTCATTTTTCGTAAAGGTATCAACAAGTTCTTTTACTTTCATACCAGCAATGACTCACTTACTTTTATGTATGTTTTTTCTATCTTTTTTCATTATCTTTCTGTTTCGATGACTCATTATTTTAATACGTTCTTTTAATTCTACAGGTGAATCTATAGAAAAACAAATTATCAAATACGATGCAGACATCAAACAGCTAACCATGGAACGAGACCAACTCGTAATCCAATTAGAAAAATCCCAGGACATGCTGATGAACTTCCAGCAAGAACTGAACCACAGCGAGGCAGAGTTGGAGAAGCACAAACAAGAAGTGGCCAGATTGAAAAACGAACAGAAAAAGATGTCGCAAGATGTGGAGAAAGGAGCGAAGGAAGTTTTGGAGAACAGGGATAGGGAAATTGCCAAGTTACAACAGCAGCTACAACAAGCTCAGAAAGAGAGGGATACTCACAAGCAAAGAGCTGAGAAGGCTGAGAAGTTATTGCATGAGTCTGGAGCTAGAGGTGATTCCGAATTGGAGCAATGGAGAAACGTTATCGAGCAGGAAACGAAAAGAGCAGACCAGGCTGAGAAGACAGCTCAGGATCTGCAGAAAAGGATTCAGGTAATTAAATTTAAAAAAATATATATCAATAAAAAGAATATTGTGCTGGATTATGTAGGTCCTTTTAATTGAATTAAGATAGAACTTTTAGTTGTTCTTCACTTGTGCAAACTGACTAAATATACTAAGTGACATTGTTACTTATTCTGCTACAGAGTAGTTTCAGGTGTTTTTCTGAGTTTATTATAATGCCTAGAATATATAGACGTGCCAATTTTAGACAACCCAGTGATTTTGATAGGGGTCGGATTGTAGGTTTGCGGGAGGCAGGATTGTCATTTCGAGAGATTGCTGATAGGGTCTATAGAAGTGTTTGCACTGTTGCCAATTGTTGTAGAGTTTACTTTCAACAACACCGTGAACATCCTGCCAGAGGTACAGGGCGTCTAAGATTAACCACTGAGGGTCAAGATCGCCGTTTAAGGCAATTAGCTGTCAGAGACCTTTCGGCCACTTCCCGAGCAATTGCTAACCAATGGTTTACGGAACACGGAAGACTCATCAAGATGCGAACTGTTTACCGACGAATACGGTCTTTTGGGCTGTTTTCTTTTCGGCCTCATTGGGTTTTATCATTGACCCCTGAATATCGACGACAACGTCTAGAGTGGTGCAGAGCCCGACAAGAATGGGGCGCAGAATGGAATGCTATCGTTTTTAGTGATGAGTCGCGATTCTGTTTGGGAATGCACGACGGTCGGGTGCGTGTGATAAGATACCGCGGAGAAAGGCAGAATCCACAGTTTTTCATGGAGAGGCACGTAAACCAAGTTGTAGGAGTTATGGTTTGGGGAGCAATCGCATATGGTAGCAGGTTATCTCTAGTATTTGTTCGAGGTAATATGACAGCCCAACGCTATATTGAGGAAATTGTGGAAGCTCATCTCTTACCATAATTACGAACGCTCCACGATCCTATATTTCAACAAGATAATGCCCGTCCCCATGTTGCTAGATTAACTGTGAACCACTTACATAATGCCCAAGTTAATTTCCTACCCTGGCCACCAAGATCTCCAGATCTCTCTTCAATTGAACATGTATGGAATATCATGGGTAGGTGACTGACAAACTTACCGCATCCACCTCAGACACTAGAAGCTTTTCGGCATGAGATACAGTTAGCATGGTATGAAATACCGCAAGAAGACATAAATCATCTGATTAGTTCCATACCCAGACGGCTCAACTAATGTATAGGTGGTCCAACACATTATTAACAAGGACAAGGTAACGAGCTAATATTTTCATTCCAAATTTTGATCATTTACGCCTTTTGTCAACCTACATTCATGTACAAAAGATTATTAAAATTAAACAATTTTTAGTGGGTGTTCTATTTTCAATGTCACTTAGTATATTTGACGTTTTGGACTATGTTTTGGACTAATAGCAGAAATATGGTAAATTAAATTGCAATAAAATTAAATTTAATCATACTTTTAGGTCCACTGACTACACTTTCTCTGTTAAAAATCTAACTTCTAATATTTTAAAGTACTATTAGTACTATTTTAGAGTAATCTTCGATTTCTTCAAAACCAATTAATTAATATCATAGTAATAATCAGAGAATATCGTACATAACTAGAGTTTATTTTTTTCTTTTCTTAAACCTTTAGTATTATATCCATATATATTTTTTTTTTCCTTTCTTGGGTATGAGGTTTTTTTTTATTAATTGAAAATGGAAACTTTTTTTTTATTATGCGACGTTTCGCCTCATCATGGTAGGCTTTCTCAGGCACTTTATTCTTGAAGCCGCAGCCGCCTTGCTACCACCAGTCTATATAGACCATACCCAAGAAAAGAAAAAAAAATATATATGAGTACATAACTAGTACCTATATGCATATACTAGTTATGTACGATATTCGCTCTCTATGTAAATACACGGGTTTAAATAGCGAGTATACGAAAAAGTTATTATTTAATTGTTCTAAAAGTGTTAGGAAGTATAATTTGTGAAAATTCTAAAAATAAAAATAAAAAAGTAAATATTTTGATATCTTCAAAAGGCCTAATTTGTATTATAATTTATTATTCCAGTTAAAAAAACTTTTCAGATGAGTTCAACTACGGTGGCGAGCATAATTTTAATCACCGGTTTTGCTAGTGGGGTATAATTGGGGCTATTTCGGCTATAACGAATTTTTTTCAAGGCACATAATTATAATTTTAGATGTTCATAAAACATTTAATCACTAGTTGATTAAAAAAAGTATACCATTAATATTGCAAATTATGTTTTATATGAGTATATGTATTTAATTTTTTAATTATGTAACGAGCACTTTGTTTACTCACTTGTTTCGTCGAACTGCTGGAATCGATTTTTGCTTTGGATCAAATGGGTGGCTGTGAGAAACTATGAAGCTATGAAATGTTGTTTCGGAAGAGTTGAATATCCGGGAAAGTTGAGTTATTTGTTATTGCGCCCAACAACGCCCTAATTACGCTGTCCTTTAAGCTGTCCTTTTAGCTGTCCTTTAACATTTTTTTCGTCAATTTTATAAACATTTGAAATTGTCACAACACAACACGACGGTGCGTCTAGTTCGAATTCTTTTTCGCTTATTTATTAATACCCAAAACAGCGTTACATCACACAAACCTCGTACCTGAGTGTTTTATAGTTTCAATAACTGCACTAGCAAAAAACTAAAATACTTAAATATTATGACCAAACCACGATTTCAATATTATTTTAATGCGATCAACAACTTGTGTCTAGCCCTAGCAGGCAACTCTTAAGCCCGACCAATCACGTTAGAGTTTTTGACAAACACAAATGAATTAACACACTCCAAATAACCACGCTAACCAACCTGATTGGTCAAGCTTAATAGTTGACTGCTAGGACTAGACACTTCTGATCAACATGAGGGTGGCGTGAACACTGATAATTTCTGATTTCTTGAGGCGCCGCGGTCGGAATTTGTTGAAATCAACCGTAATGCACAAAGCCTGTACATCAATATTACATAAAATAAACCATATTACAGGTTATGGAAAAGCAGCTTCAACAGCAACTTAACCAGATGGCTCAGTACCAAAGAGAAAGGGGTATACAACCACCTGCAGCAGACGAGAAAGAGCTGCAAAGGTTAAGAAAAGAGTTGGAGAAGTCTCAAGGAGATGTTAAGAACTGTAACACGGAAAAAGAGCGGTTACAATCTCAGTTGGAGATGTTGGTACAAGAGTTGGAGAAAAATCAGGTTTGGATTAATTTTTTGAAAGTGTGCAACGGAAAATTTTGATGGTCAAGTTTAAAGTGTTATATTTTTTTTATTTTTCTATTTTCATGATTTTTTTTTAACAAACTGTATATAAATGTATTAACTAACCTAACCTCTCTCTTTGGTCCGTTTCCCTGAAGAGGGATTAGTGACTATGATGTTCCTGTAGCGGTTTTTATCGTATTGTGCCAGTCCGCTCTGTTTTGAGCCATGCTGACGGTTTCATGAAGGCCTTGGCCGATTAGGTCTTTAGTTTGATCAACCCATCTCTTGTGTGATCTTCCTCGTGGTCGCTTTCCCTCGACTATTAGCAGCTGCAGTAAGTCCGTTCTTCTAGCAATGTGACCAATATATGTCAGAAAACATCAGTTTATTTTTTTTGAGAGGCTGAGTTGTTAGTTTAGTTCTTGGAGAACTGACTCATTCATACGATGGGCTGTCCAAGGTATACGTAGCAGACGTCATATGCCCACATTTCAAAAGCATCTATTCGCCTGGTATCGCTTTTCTTCAGCGTCCATGTTTCCGCCCCATACGTAGCAATCGGGAAAACAAGCGAGTTCAGCAGTCTTAGTTTGGTATTCTTAGTGATGGCTGTATCTTTCCATATCTTAGTTAATTTAGTTACGGCTGTTCTAGCCAGCGCAATTCTACGTCTTATTTCGCCTTCGCATGAGCCGCTGTTGTCGATTAGCGATCCCAGATATAGTATTTATTAACCACCTTAAATCCAGCTATGTTTCCCACGTGAGGTTGGTTGTTGTTTTGTCGGTCCACAATCATGATAGTAGTTTTGTTAGGATTAAGTTTTAGCCCAAATTCTGTACTAGTTTCTTGGAGACGTTGCATAATAAATTCCATTTCTTCCACACTTGATGTTATGATTAGTATATCGTCGGCATATCTTAGATTATTGATTTTCCTTCCCCCACAGATACTCCACCTTGCCAGTTATCGAGAATATCACGCATTATGTACTCTGTATAAATATTGAACAATAGGGGTGAGAGAACACACCCCTGCCTGACACCCTTCATTGCTTGAAATCTATTTGATGTGACATCATTAATTCTTATAAGTCCGTAATTATGTTGGTATAGTTGTCGGATAAATAGAATAAGGTGATCAGGAACCCCCATTTCCTTGAGTATTTGCCAAAGTTTTTGCCACTGGACTAGATCGAAGGCCTTAGAATAGTCGATAAAACAGAGATACATTTCTATGTTGAATTCTCGCGCTTTTTTCATTAACCGTCGTACGTTCCCTATCTCACCCTCTGGTACCCTTACCAGGCATAAAGCCAGTTTGTTCTTCTGCAATTTGTGGTAGTAGATATGGCCTGAGTATGTTGTTAATAATCTGCAGGAGAATTTTGAATGCATGAGGAATTAAAGCAATCATTCGATAGTTATTGCAGTCTGCCGGATTACCCTTTTTATATAGTGGTATATATAGCGAGCTGCACCAGTCGTCTGGCCAAATTCCCGTCTTCCAAATCAGATTGCATATGAAATGAATAACATCAATTACCGGTTGCCCTATTGACTTTAATATTTCAGCAGCTACACCATCTATACCTGGGGCTTTATTTTTTTGAGACGATTTAGGGCGTGTTCAACTTTTGATTTAAGGATCTCCGGTTCATGTTCGAATTGGTTGGGACGATTAATATTATTAGAAGATTCACCATCTTCGTAAAGCTTTGTGCAGTATTTTCGCCAGACTTCAGCAATACCATCCGGATCAGTAATCTTTCGACCATTTTCATCCTGTATAATTTGTGTACGTAGTTGAAACTCACGAGAGAGATATTTTACCTTACTGAATAGCTCTCTAGATTCGTTAGTTGCTGAGTGTCTTTCCAATTCTGTGCAAATCTCGTGGACGTGCGTGTTTTTATCCCGTCTACAGCTGTTTTTTATTTCTTTATTGATGTTTCTTAGTTTGTGTTCTTTGTCAAATGTTGTTGATATGACTAGGTTTCTTCTCTTTTCGCTAAAATTGATCGTATTATTCAAAATCCAAGTTTTGGACTTTAATTTAGTGTTTCCAGATGTGCAACTTCCTTTAACTATTTCATTTATCCAAGTCCTAGTGTCATTCCACATTTCTTGTACGTCATTTTTTAGTGTGGGCATTTTTACCGATTTCATTGTTTTCATTATTCCTTCTTTAGTAGGTACTGAATACCTTTTCGTTTTGATCAATTTCACTGCCTGTAGTTTATGATGGAACTTTGCCACTAGGATTTTATGATCCGATCCACATACCATGCCAGGTCTTGTCTTAACATTGGTAACAGATGACCGCCATCTACCGCTTATTAAGATATAGTCAATTTGATTTTCGTTTTTGATCGGGTGAGGTCCAAGTTGACAATCGTCTAGGGTGTTGTTTGAACATGAAAGCAATAATGTAACTGGAACGAAGTACAACAA